AGGATGCTCCTGCTGTCCCCATGGGGAGCTGGCACCGGCCCGCGTGTCACCAAGCCGCTCTGCAGGAGGATGCTTCTGGCATTTTCTGACGTGGTTTTTCTGACCCTAATTCAGCCACCGCCACTTAGAGCTGGCATCTGGATGAACACACCGAGTGCTGCCGCACGTTCCCCAGGCTGAAACCAGCGGAGCCTGAGGACAGGAACGCAGACCCAGCACCCAACACGTCTCTTTGTACGGCTGCAAAAGGAACTGTGGGGACGGTGTCTAGCCAAGTGCTGTACCCCGACTATAAGGTACAGCACCCAGCCTGGACAGCAACGTACCACCCAAATGCCTCACACAAACTTTTATTATTCACTGAAACATCATACATCGCACAGAACTCCCTGCTTCACAGCAAAGCAGCGGCCAGCCCTTACACGAGGCGTTGGCTCCTACGACCCCAGCAGGCACCTGCAGCCTCGCAGCCTCGGTACCTCTCGAAGCCAGGCTATTTCGGAGGTGTGCGATGCTGCAGTAGGTTTCACTGTTGCTCTCATCAAGGGGAAGGTTTTCATCCTCTGATTTAAAGGCACGCAAATCAGGAGCCAAACTGTCCTTCTGCCACACAACAGCCAGTCTTTGGCGTGGTGCCTGCATAGGGTCGAGTCTTCTTCCCCTTAGGAACACAGCGTGCACTTGGTTTGTGTTGGTTTCACACAAAGCACCCCAGTTACCAGCCTCACTTCCCAGCAGGTACGCGGCACGCGGGCTCCAGAACAGGCTGTGGGTAAGGCCTTGCAGAAAGATTTTTAGAGAATTTTGCTTGTCAGATGTGGGAACCCGCTGCAGCGCTACGCATGAGGATACAGGGTGTTCCATATCTGCTGCTAACAGGACAAACAAACCTGATAGGCAATGCTGAAAAGTGAGCATGGACTTCCCCTCCTGCCAGACCAAGACACAGCTGTGTAGGAGAAGCAGTGTGGTTGAAGTGAGAGGGAGCAAGACAACCGGGAAAGGCTGCAAGACTTCATACGCCATGCGGAGCGATGCAGCAAAGCCGGCACAGCCCACTGTCACCTCCTCTCCTTTTTAATTCTTACAAGGAAACTACTCCCCTGGCTCTGTTTGGCACAAACACTGGCTCAGGACACACCTCTGGATGCCACTGAATTTGGTAAGGACATTTGGCAACGTGGCTGTGCTGAAGGCCCCAGCTCCACTTCTAGTTGGCAAATTTTACAGAAGACAAGAGGAGAAACATGCCGTCCTTTCAAAAATACTTCAAGGGAAACCTTTATCAGAGACAGAGCTCAGCAAAAACGACTGCAACAAACCAAGTTTCATTTTCACTTTGGGATGGGGAAGAGGGTGCATTACTGGCACCAACTGAGGAGCCTAAAGCCCACTTCGAGTGTATGTGCTACCGCCTATGGCAAAGACAGGGAAGGACAGTAAATACTCAGTAATTGAGAAGAGCCAAAGGAAACACAATGGGAAACATACTGGAAACAACGGACTTCCATGAACAAGCGTCTAAAGTCTGTAGTTGTCAGCATAAAGAAACAGCTTTGCTGTCATGTCACGAAGAAGTAAACTTTGAAAGGTGTCTGTGAAATACCCTGACTACAGAAAAGCAGCGCTTTAAGACCTGTGACTGTACACTTTCTGTACAAATGGAAAAAAAATCATGCCAGCCAGCGTACCACATAAAAAAAGAAAAGGCGAGAGACAAGACTTTTAGGTGACCAGTTCTTCCTCGCCAACAAAGCAGACACCTTCCCTGCAATCCCAATAGTCTGCAGTTTTATTTTTGGCAGATCATAGATTATAATTAAAATGGTCTTTATGGCTTTAGAGAGAAGCCACTAAGCTGCACATTATGGTTGAAGCAGAGAGTGCATGTGTGTGGTATGCTCTGGACGAAGGGACATCGCAGGCAGAGGTCTTGCCACAGCTCTGCTCCTTCCACCTGAGCCGCAAACGCTGCTGGTTGTACTTGGCGCTCTTTAGTATTCTCATTTCTCATCAGCAAGTAACAAAGTTCTGGTTGCTAACCAGTCCAATCCCAGAGGCAGAATAAAAAGACCTTGTTAAGACTTAGAAAAAGCAGGTTTCTAAGAAAATAAAATCCAAACACGTGCAAACACTGTTCCTGGTTTGATGCATTTAGTTCAGGTTCCACCACCAGTGCACTGGAATTTGCTTTCCCTGTAGAGCGATTTCATTCCTTGTCCATTCTCCACCTTTTGGTCTTCTCAGGAGTCTTCACAAGCTATCCCTCCATTTTTGTCTTCAACATTTTTCCTATGCACATCCTTCCTGCCCTTCCCTCTTCCGCTGTCACACCCTGTTCCTCTACAGCTATTTTCGGAAAGCAAAGACGTCCCGTGTTTTCAAGCCTCTCTTGCCTTCGCTTCCTGGTTTAGGAGAAGACACTTCCGCCAGTCCCCCATATGGGCAGCTCTCGGACTCCGGGTGATGGCCAGAGCACTCCACAGCGGGGATGAAGCCACTGTCCCACATCCCTGTCCCACACAGCTTGCACAGGTCATGCAGGCTGCAGGGGATGCGGGGTAAGAGGTGGAACTGATAGAGCAGACTCCTCGCCTAGAGGGGAGAGAGAGACAAAGTCATTCACCCCTCACCAGGGGACGAATCAGGAAAGTGGGGTAGCCCATGGTCTCCTGTCCCATCCTCCTGTTTGGCTACCTTGGACGAGGCAAAGTGTCAGCAAAGGAGCATCCCTCCTGAACACGAATCTGAAGGTTAAACGAGGCACCGGGGACGCTGCCAGGTCACAGGAGCTGTGGCACACAGCAGCACATCCCTCGCCCTGCAGTCACTCCCAGCCCCAGAGGGACTGGGGACGGTGGCACACAGACAAATAGCTCTGTCTGCCATTTCCCTGAGCACGTGCAAGGGTCGTCCCAACCATACCGTCACCTCCTAAGCACTCTACAACTACCTCTTACTTCTGCAAAACTTGTTTCCAGGCAAACAGCAGCATCCTACCCTCCCAGGTTCCAGACAAACAGGGGGATACAGGAGATGCGACAGATGAAGCGTCAGTCCCTGATTTTCTCAACGCTCTGACTCATCTCTTGGACCTGAGACTCGGTACATGGGCATTTACCTTCCTGAGTACAAGTTCTCCGTTCATGTGCATAGCCAGGTTGCCGAAATGCAGCAGCATCTGGTCAGTGGCCAGCTGCTGTTCAATGACATCGTCCCCATAAATCACCACGATGGCCACACAGATAAAGAGATGGAAATAGTCAGTCTGCAATGAGAAAACAGGGGCTGGAGTACAGCAGGTAGAGGCAGAGGTCTGACTTAACCTCCCCACCCTCCACAAGCATCTCCTTAGCGAGATTTTTTTGCTCCTTCCAGTTTTGACTAGTGGTACACAGAACGTGAGTTACTGGTGAATTCTGAACCACAGCTGAGTCAAAGTCTCTTCCCTTTACAGCGCGGCAGCAAGGTTTGCACCACAGCTTTCAAAGCAGACTAGTGATTTTGGGGAAGACAGTTTCCAGCTGTGTAAGTGAAGTCTGAACTTCAGAAGTGGGTGCTCAGCACTTTCTGAAAAAAACTCCCTTTGAAGCCCAGACATCCTCAAGTAGGAGAGGCAGGCCTCCATCCTCCCGCTACACAGATAAACCTCTTCAATAGTTACAGACCCTCTAGAAAACCTACTTATTTTGGATACTTTTCTACTAAGAGCCTCTATGGAAATTCTGCAATGCCTGCTGAGACAGTGAGGACTCAGCAAAGGACACACTGCTGCCCAGTGTGCGCGGCGCCCCTCGCCAGCTGTCTAACCTGATAGTGAGCCCAGCACGCTTCCCACATCCGCAACGCCTCAGCATCTGGAAATTCACGTTTAAAACAGAGGAGGATCCAACGGTGACAGAAAAGCATCTGCAGGCCATCCTCTCCCAAGGAAGAAAGGTGCTGGTAGAAGCGTGGGTGCATGAGTCGCAGCAGCTCTCGCAGGTACATCTGGAAAAGATGCTCTGAGCTGAGCTACTGCCTGGTGCACGAGGACTCACTCGCCGTCCCGGGGAGCCCCCAGACTGCCTGCCCGACCTGGGCTCCCGCAGAGCTGGCCACAGTTCTCCGCTCTCACAAAAACCTCCGGCTTTACGGCCTGTTTATTACAGCACAGCCAGGAGGATGCTTGGATCTGTCATTAAAGGCCAGAGCTCACAGGCCACGGCAGCTATTTCACAAGGAAGGATGAAGGATGAAGGAAAAGAAAATCCCATGACAGCTACATTGTGAAAAGAAAGAAGGGGAGAGATGCAGGCTGAGGAAAGCAGCTAGAGCTGTAAAAACTAGAGAAAAGAAAGGACATAGCTATCTCTGGCAATATTTCATTTCAATAGAGGCTGAGCAATAAGGAAATGATTTTGGAAAGCCTGACTATACAGGCACATTACAGTGCATAAATCTGTACATTGACTAACTGCACCTCACCAGCAGCCTCCCACGGGGTTTCCACCACATGTTTACCATGTTACATTGGTGCCATCATGACCCAGACAGGATTGTTCAGGTTTAGAATGGATTTTTCAGGATCTTAACCAGAAAACAACTGACATTCATGTTAAAACCTAAAAAGTTCCCATTTTTAAACAAGACCATCTTATTTTAAGACACTCTGTCAGATACATAAGGCTTTTCATTTGGACATAATTTTAAAATTCTATTAAGATCTTAAAAAAAAAAACCAAACCCACAAAGAAGAGGGTTGCAGCTCAATCAACTCCTCTGCCTCATTCACACCAAATGCCCCAGAACTGGGACAAGAACAAACCAGTGAGTCTTCACCACCTGAGAGAAGTGCAAAGTCAAAGCAAGCAGCATCCTAAATATATTTGATCATAAAGGATTCCTTGAATCAGCATGCTCTAGCATAGCCAAGGTAACTTTACTGTGAAAATTTATTGGCTATAACTGCCTCTGGAGCATCCCAATCACCCAGGATCAATTTTACCCATCAAGTATTTTGTGGCTTTGGAGTGTGATTCAGCATGCTGGAACCCAACAGCCCAGGTAACTGCTTTATGGCATTCTGCTAATTTGACTGGGGAGGGGAGAAGCTAAAGGGAGCTCAGCATTCAGCCTCACCAGCTGTTTCTCCATATCCTCATCCCGGGGTGAGCTGATGAAGATCGTGTTCTGCATCAATCCTACAAAGCACCAGAAAGTATCCGACTCATCTAGGACCTCTGCCAGGAGCGGGGCAACCAGGTCGGACATCCCCTGGGAGTATCCAATTGTTGGGTTAAATACTGCATAGTTCAGCAAGATCCTCCTGGAGAAAAGATGCAAATGGAGAGGTGAGAGACGGAGAGGGCAGGTCACAGCTGAGCGCAGTGCCCTTTCCCTTCTGCCCCAACTCCCACCGTACAGGCTGAGTCAGGCAAAGTGCAGAAGAGCAACAGATCACTCCTGCCATCTAAAAGATTAACTTGCAATTGCACCCAGAGGTTTGTGAAATTTTGAGCACCTGTACAGCACGTTGCATCCCACAGAACTCTTCTCCCTAGAAGAACTGTGTCTAGAAGCGTAACAAAGATACACTAACACTATACCTAACTGGAACTCTCCTTATTTTTTAGGATTGCAATGTTTTGCATCAATCCAGAGAGGCTCCTGGATGGGCAACAAGAACTCTAAATAGCACACATCAGCCTAAGACAAGGGATTTGAACAGAACTCCTTAGGCTCCCGTTTGCCAACCGCAGTACAGCGCACCGGGAGCAGTGCAGTAGGAACAAGCAACACAGTTCATCTCAGGTACAAAGACACACAACCCTACTGCAAGGTGCTTTAACACATACAGACAAACCCTGCTGCAAACATCAGTCCAGTGAAATAAACTCCAGGAGGTTTTACATACACAGATGGCAAAATATAAAAAGAAAATGAGAATTTAAAAAGACCAAGAGGACAGAAATGAAGGGCCCATGGGAAAGGAGAGATGTTGCCTACCAATCCACAAGGCTCCAAGCCATACTGTTCAATGAAATCCAAAGGTTTTGAGGCAAACATTTACAAGTCATGAAGCAGACTCTGGTGTGACCGTCTCTCCAGTCAGGAGAACTACGGACCCAAGCAACGTCCCAGAACCCTGCTGCAAGACCCATGACGCTCCCACAGCCACAGCAGGCTCAAACCTCTTGTGTGCCTATCTACGCAGGGAAGCTAGGTGATGGGAGCAGCGTTGTTATATCAAGAAGTCAATGGCTAAAGCAGCCGTGAAAGCACTGGGGAAGAAGTGCTTGGTTTTGCATCACTTGGTACCAGTCACCGTATGCACGGTGCTCTTCAGCATTCCCTAGGCAGCCTGGGCCGGGGGGGCTTACCGAGTTTCCTATACATTCAGTAGGACACGTCATTTGGGACACCAGAATCAGACATTTCACCTCATAGTTTCCACATTTGGGTTGTCCTCCCCTCGAAAGAACTGGTTGCTGCGGTCAGTCCTTACGACGTCTTTATCTACAGTGAACTGTACTTTACACCAAAAATCCTTCTGTTCATCTGGAGTCATCGAAAGCCTGGAAATTGAGCAGCACAGGAACACATTTCCAAGAGAGGAATATGATTGCCACAAGGAACAAAAAGCCTTATTTCAGCTTGAGTTTTCAGAGAAAAACTATTCCTGTACAGTTTTCTCATCACTTGAAAAACAGACAAGCAGGTCTGTCCAGAAAAGCAGATTTTCTGTCCAAACGGATTACTAGAAGGAGCCTCCCAGGTTATAAATGGGATGACAGGATGTGTTTTCTTCGGTAAACTCCACTTCAGAAGCAGTGAGACTCTGCTCTCCACTGCTCCTTGTGGGTGGCACACCAAAACTCACCACTCTGTTTTGATTGTCTCCTAATTAATAACACTACTGTCCCTCTCCAGCTTAAATGTACCCACTACTAGATTACAACATACCGTTCTTGCAGTAATAACTTTGCTGAACTAGATATCCCTTCTTCTTTCCAATTTTTACATCCGGATATATTTACAAAGAAATACAAGATCCCATTTTCACCTTCTGCATGCTAAACCAAGCATGTTCAGCTTGTAGTCTTGCCTGTGAGATAAGCTTCCCTGCATGGTACTGACGAGCCTGCCTCAAGACCCCAAGTAAGATAATATTGGAGCTACATGGTATTAGCTCCAGACTCTCAAGAGGTCAGCTGTGCCTGATACACCTCCTTTACCATCCCTCTTACTTCCCTACTCCAATCAGCTTCTCCTGAAGCGAAGGAGGCAGAGACTCTGTACGTCACCAGCGGTATTACTGCTACGTCAGGCCTGAGGAGAGATGGACCGGAGAGGATGAAGCTGGTCTGTTACCTTTTCTCCTGGATCTCAAAGTATTCTTTCCTCTTCTGCAGTCTCAGTGCCTCCCTCTCCTCAGAGGTGGACTCGTAGCTGTAGTAGTGCAGCAGAAAGGGCCACACCTCCCCACGGATGGAAATATCAATCCCACCAAAGAAAATGGCCTGGAAGAAGGAGCAAAAGTTATGACTGGTACAGTTTTAACATTTCCCAAAACAGCAACAAGAAACTGCCCGCTACTATGCTTTGGTGGCTTTGCAGTTCTTTCCTGACAAGTGACGCCTTGATTCAAGCTCCTGCAATTTGCACATGTTTAGAGGGAAAGTGCTGGCCTTCTATTCCCAGACGAGACACAAATCGGGCTCATTTCAATGTCAATAACCCCCCCTGGAGAGGCTCTATGATTAACGTGTCGTTCTCATGTCACGGCTTAATCCTCAATCTTGGAGACACTGCATTTCACTGCAAACTCCTCTCTCAGGACCTGGACCCAGTGCTCCCCCGCAAGCCCTGCATTATTTCGTACAGTAATCTCAATTTTTCTTTCTTTGATTTGTTCACACTGCATTTTGCAAACACGTCTAGCACTGGACACTTTGGTTGACTGATTCGAACCAGCAGCAGAAGCCGGACAGCTCGCCCTCCTTGCTCAGGGAGATGCTCTACCATCCTGCCTGTAGCAGACTGATCTGCAGTCCCAGCCAGACCTCCAGCCAAGCACTACACGCCAGTCTTTATACCCTCAAATGCCCAGTTCTTGCCCCCAGCGTGAAAGCAAACTCTTGCAGCTTCCACCTGGGGACTCACACTCCACGGCAGGAGAGAAAGGATGAAAACGGCAGCAGCCACCCCTCTCACCTTCTGCAGCTTGTACTCCTCTTCCACCTGTCCGGATTCATTCAGGTGATGGAGCCAGGCAGACACATCAAGACGCTTGTACGTGTTCTCCTCTGGATGGGTTTCCGAGGAGGGCAGCTTGGGACGGCGGATGGAGAACTGCATACACGTTTTCTCATCAGTAAGCTGCTGAACGGGGGAAAACAAAACAAAAAAACTGGTGGCAGGAGCCAGAGCTAGCAGCAGAGTATGAAACCCAGCAATTTTCAGAGCAGGAAAACCTTTTTGCATGGTTCGCGTAGGATTAAGTGCTGAGGCGCTGCACTTGTGGAGGTTTTTTTTAAAATTCCAACCATTACAATAGCAAGAGTGATTAGAATAATTAAAAATCTGAGTACCACTAAACAGCTTCATCTTAAAAAAAAATTGTTTCCATTCTTCCCCCAATCTTATCCCTGACCTGAAACTGAATTAATGCTGCTTACAGCAAAACTTCACCCTGCCAGGAATGCATGCAATAAATTACATATGATTGGCCATATACAAAGGGATTGCTGTTAGGCAAGCAGGGATCTGCACTGCCAGGCTCTCTAAGGGCACTCATGATCCCAGTGCAAGACTGCAGCTGACATTTAATTTAAAAATCAAAGGTTGTTCAATGCAAAAAGTGAGCCCATGCGACCATAATAAGAAAAGCAGCAGGGGGCTCTGTGGCAAGGATGGAAATTTAAAAATCACTGTTTCTAATAAGCACATACAGTATCTTAAACAGATAATTAAAGAGCTCTTATCACATTTGTATGTAGATTGAACAAAATATGGCAAGATGCCTTGTCAAAACATTTTCCGATGCAGTGTGCTACGCTTCACAAAATGGATGAAAGACTCTGACAGAATTTCAGACCTACCACTGCAGATTTCCCAGCCACCTTACATGCCTAAAGCATAGTGCTGACCTGTCGGGTCTAGCAAAATAACCACCTAAGCAAGTCTCCTGGATTATCTTTCCCCATATTCCACAGGCAGAACAGGAATGGATGAGGATGAGAAAGTACAAGAGAGACCTCGCGTCCGACTCACGGTTGCATCCTAAACAACATCCGACGCATCGTAGCTTTCTGCCTGACTTGGTGACATGAACTCATAGCTTCCTTTCTCCAACGCACTCCCCTGGCTGAAAACATTAAGTGTGAAACATCTGCTGGAAAAACCCTCTTTGCTCCATGAACCTCGCTCAGGTACCTGGTCCTTGAGATGGGTCTCTGCACAGTACTTCCATTGCTGAAACACCTCGGACAGTTTATCCAGGCCACCGTGGTGAAAATGGAAGATCTTGTACTGGCTCTCCCTGCTTGCAACAACCAGTTGTCCACAGGTGCATGCCTCATCGCTGCGGGACAAAACAGCGGGGGAGAACAACCTGCATTTATTGCCCAGGATAACGAGGGGAACGGCAGATGAGAGCGAGCGGAAAGCAAGTTACAAAGAGGGTAGCACTAAGTTGTCCCTTAAAACAGGGCGCAGAAGTAATTTTACAGCTCTGAGACTCGATGATCCTTATGGGTCCCTTCCAACTGGAGATATTCTATGATTCTATGCCATGGCCATAGCGACCACTTTCCCCAAGAAGCTCCACTCGCGCCTGGTAATGGCACTCTTTTACCCTTCCACCATGTGAAGGAATTAAATTTTGTCTTCCCTGGAGAACAAAAACCCAAGCAGTCTGCCCCAGCAACATTAATGCCATAAACAAATCAGCTCCTAGGGACGAGCGGACTTGGTTGCACACAGCATTGTCTAAAGAAGCAGGGAGTGAGAGTGAAAAGAGAGAGTAGAAATGATTTTAATAACTTTTGCGATAATCTGAAAGGTAACTGAAGAGGCTGGGAGCAGCAAGACCCTAGAGGAGCCTCAGCGAGGGCCAGGCAAGGGAGAAGGTGCCATAGACAAACAGATGTTTTCCACACCTCCAGGGTATTTTAAACAGTTTTGGTAAGACAGCTAAGAGCAACCTTTACCTTACTAGGGGAAAAAATCCTTTAGGCCCCATAACTGCGATTCAGAGGCTCTCCCGGGGAAGGCTGATGCTTGTTTTGCTGGAGACAACCATTAGGGAAAGCCTTCCAAGGACCGCAGAAGCCATCTGCCTCCACAGAGCCCAGCGCGCGCTGACCCAGAGCACAGACAGACACCACACGCAGCAATACGTTACCTGAAGAAGAGGCGAAGGGATCTCATTTGTCCCAGGTCCACTTTAAAGACACCACAGACCTGCTCGAGGGCAAACACCTTCTGCTGTTCGTCCCATCTGGTGCTCTGCGGTTGCCCATTATTCTCCTGGAACTGGGCACTGGTGTCGAGGCTGGAGGCAGAGCTGGTGGAGCAGGTCATGCGATTGTCACACGTGTCCCTGCGGACAAGAGCGCGGAGGAAGAAAGCCCCGCAAGACATCAGCCAAAGATGACTGCAGTTACATGCAATAACCACAGATGCTCCACTTTTGTCAGAGCTCCGAAACTGGAATTCAGTGCAGGTCTAAGGAGTCAATAACCAACAGCCCACATAAGAGATTAAATTATTTTTACTTAAAGTCATTCCCTACCATCCCCCAAAACGATCCTATTTTTCGTCTGTTCCTAAATTGCACACAGAACTGGGGAGAGCCAAAACCATTCCTCAAAACACTGACTTTTGAAAAGGCAAAATTAAGAAGCCCAGCGTGGGAACAGCCCGGACTCCTCCGAGGAACAGCCCGGCGCCGGCTCCTTCGGCGCAGCACAAAGACCAGTTTGGGGAGCGGGTACAGCGGGCACTTGCCTGCTCTCCAGCCCACGCCACAGAGCCCTAAGCTGCAGGATCCCTTCAGACCATCACGCCTCTGGGATTGATGACCCCTTTGGATGGAAAACCTTGGGCCATTGAAAAAACATGACTGCAGAAGCACAGGTGCTCAAGAGGCTGCTTCAGCAGCTCCAGTGGCACTCGGCGAGTAACTTCCAAAGGAAGAGACTTCTCGTCCCACATCTTGAGCAACCTCCCCAGTGCGCACCTCAGCTGCTCCGCACCAGGCCGGGGACAGGAGGAGGGAGCGCATTCAGAGGGCAGCGTTGACTAGGGATCTCATCTGGCAAATTCCCTCAGTGGCCACTGAGATCCAAAGATATTTCCCCTGAACTCGAGTTTCTCATTACGCCTTTGCAAGTGGACCTGACAAGCCTGGGTTCATGTGTATAAACTTCAGACAAATGGTTTCCACTTGCAAACTTGAAACTTCAGAGAGTTAAGGAGTGGGAAATTACACATGAGCTCTCTAACGCACCGCAAAGCAGAGAAAGTGAACCCAGCCATCTTCCAATACGCTAGGAGCTCACCGCGCCCCAGATATTTAAGAGTAAACTGAGTTTAGATTAAAAGAACCCACATGCCCGCCACCAGCCCTGATCCCAAAAGAAAAATATCACTGCTTTGAGAATTAAGTGAATCTGAAACTGTGACCCCTTGATTCTTAAAAAGGCCAATACATGTGAACAATCTCAGCGCAAGCTCTGAATGGGTTCCGCTGTGAAATCAGGGTTTGCAAAACAAGGCAAGTAGCAGGTATAAAGACAGCCCCCTGCAATGCCACTTTATGCAATGTTTTCTAATCCGCTTATCTAACAATGTAGGCACTGAACGCTGAAAATCACACACTCAGCATGCATCTGCAGCACACCACATCAGTATGCCTTCCAAGCCTGGCTACAGTGCCTCTTCCACAGGGACAAGCCTTATTTGCAGCATCCACCCACGGTTCAGGTCATTGCATTCCAATGGACAGGTCTCCGGACATCCCAGTTAGTTGCGGGTTAAATTTTTAACCAAGCCCCTGCGAGCTGCCCAGTTCAGATGTGTGACTCAAAACCTTCACGCCCACACGCATGGGAAATAAATCCCCGAGCCCCCTTCTCTAGTTCTGCACCATTATGTAGATGAGACCAAGTCTGTTTTACTTTCAGCTAAAAGAGCGGCTTCACTGCTCTGTTCATGAAGTTCTGCTGCTCCATTTTTCTGAAAGAAAGCATCAAAGCAAAACTCACACTCAAGCCGGGAGGTTAAGGTATTAGAAGCGACGTGGCAATATTACCCTGTGGGCAGGGATCACACGACGTACCCAAACTCACTCAAAGAGGAACGACAGCAGTTTTTCTAGGTTCAACACCAGGATACTTCCAGTCTCAAATGCAGCCATATACCATCACCTGCACCTTGTGAATTTTTCCGTGAAAATTATAGCGGCCTTTGTGAAAAATCAAGCATTGTGTTCTGATAAAGCTGCAAAATACAACATTTTCTAAAACATTCAGTTTCTCATGTTGATGAAAAAGTAATAGGAGTCCTACTACAAGATACTTGTGCTGGACTGCTTGCTACAAGCAGCTGGTATTTATGGAGCAACACTTCATAACAGCCACAGCTGGTTACACAGGATTTTCCTGGAAGAGATGACTCAAACTAGCTCAAAGACTAAGCAGAGGCAACCAATTTTCTAGAACCCTTGCAAAGATGAACTGGTCAGTACGACAAAGGGCTGGAAGAGGGGTTGGCTGTGAGGATCATTGACCTGCGGTTCCCTCGTCACAGAGGCCAATGTGCCCATTCTTCAAGAGCATCATCTCAAAACGACCAGCGGCAGAGACATGACCACCAAGAAACGATAATTACCGGTAGAGCCGGGCAGGCTCGCTTTCATCCCCAGGAATCGTGTAGCTCCTCAGTACAGGATGCTATCGCCAGCTGCAGCTCCTTCTGCTACGTAACCAAAACCTGTTTCAGATACACAAGCAGCTACCCGAAACCTCAGAGGGTGGAGAGCCTATTCACAAAGGCGCTGGCAATGTTATCTTTTCTGGAAATGCTTCTTCAAGCCAAATGTTTACAGTTCACATTTAGCCACTAGTTACAAGCATGCACATGCATCCAACATCCATGGAAGTAAGTGGATTTACCCTTTCTGGACCGCAAAAAGCCAGCAATGTAAGCATGGTGCCTCAGAGTGTGCAGCCCAGGGAAATGCCAATGTTGTCACTGGTGTAGAAGATGAAATCTGAAAGAGACATCTGTGCAGCCCATGCCCTTTGGAGAGGTCGATGAACCTGTACATTCATACACATAGTATAGATGCAGAGAAAGTACCACCTTATACATTGGTGCATACTTGGTCACCGCGGAAATTAAGAAAAAAAACTCCCCGTGTTTAAAATTGCTTTTTCCTGTATATATTGATTGAAAAAAAATTTGAAAATATTCTAATCTGTTCGACTAATTTTAAAAACAATTTTAATATTGAGATCACTCTGTACGTAAGTAACAACAAGTAGTAGGATCAATGCTAATTTTGTGGATTTTGGGGAGTCCTCTAACTAGGCACACAAGATACACAGATGCAAGGGGAGAATTTACTATTTGTCAGACTATTTGTACCTGTAAGATGAGGAATTTATACCAGAGTGCCCTGCAAAAGCAGAGCACTGAAGCACTGCAAGGCAAATAGCTGGAGGAACATTCCAGAGAGACTTTGGGTTGTGGGATCCAGGAAAAACAGAGCGCCAGCTAGTACACAGCACTGCTCAGCAGAACAAGAGAACAAGTGCGATGGTCCACAGGAATAAAAGGGACAGGGGAAAAAAAATAAGGAGGATTAGCAAAACCCGAGGCAGGAAACCCACAGACGTATTCATGATTCCACTTAAGCCTTTTCCTCTTACTGAAGTCCCATTACTCTTTTGTCTCAAAATATATCTCATTCCTGC